TGCTTATTGGATTTTTCAGTGTTTTGCATACATCATAATCTCATCAAATAATTTGGAACATGGGCGTTAATGCACATCCATCAGAGACCACAGTGGGTTTCTTCTGGCCCGGGTGGTACTTTTGAGATATAATTCACATCCTGTACCAGTCGCCCGTTTGTACTGTGTACCATTCAATAGCTTTTAGTGCATTTGGAGTTGTGCAACCATCTTGATCAATTTTAGGACATTTTCATCCCTGCCGGTCACTCCCCGCTTTTCCCCAGCCTCCCATCACTTCAGCCATCACTTATCTTCCCCATCTCTCTAGATTCGTCTGTTCTCACTTGGTCCTCTTCTCAGATTTTGGCTTGGTCGTCAGCATTTTACAAATTGAGGGGAAGGGTATAGCTCAGTTGTAGAGTTTGTGCTTAGCATGCATGAGGTCCTGGGTTCAGTTCCCTCTATTTAAAAAAAAATTGAAATTAAGTAAGTAAATTGAATTACCTCCCTCTCAAAAAAATTAAAATTGAGAAAGTGCACTTTAAAGTCCAGATTTTCACCCTCTTTTGGGAGAGTTGATCTGCACACATGGTCCCTCATGGCAGCTACGAGGGAATAGCTGCTGTTCCCCATGACAACAGGAGTGGCCCCGCGTGCCCCAGTCCTCACCACTCCTTATCGTCCTAGCCCCGCGTTCATGTGTTTATGGGACCTGCCTTCCCCCACGACTCAGAGGGGGATCTCCGTAGGATGTAGTGTGTGTGTAGGGCGGGGGACGGGTACGACTCACCTGGAGAATCGGTTTGAATATTTAAATGAGTAGTATATGTATGTGCGTGGGCAGCTTTTTTTATTTCTCTGCCCAGTTTTATGCATGTTTTTCACCCATGACTTGGTAGATCAGAGTCCTCTTCCCCTCACTTTGCAAGCCTCTGGGTTGCTGCAGGTAATGCAATGCCTGGAGGAGATGCCTGATTACTACTGTATTATCTCATCTCATTCTCACAAAACCCAAGCTCTTTGCTAAACTCCTTACCTACATTGTCCACCCCATGTTACCAGCTCAGACAGGTCAAGAAACCCACCCAAGGTCACACAGCTAGCCAGCGAGTAGGGAAACCAGAGCTCCAAACCAGCTGCTCCCAGGAACCTTGCTCCGAACCGCTCGTACGGACGGGCTCCAGTGTCTGGGGAGGCGGCTGGACTGGCCCCCGGCAGCCCGGGGTGATGGCCGTCCTTCCAAGGGGGGCTAGGGCTGGGCTTCCTGGGACTGAGCTGGGGACCCAGGAAGCCTGCCACCCCTGAGCACAAAGATCTCTAACGCTGATGCCAGGATGTTCCTTTGCCTTTTAGATTCTTTTTAAAAATGCAAATGCTTGGGAATTTGAGGCTCTGCAAGTGTAATGATCTATTAAGTCTTGGATGGAGTTGGTGCTCCAGGCAAAGTACCCATGAATGCAGATTAATACAGTGGCCCCATGCTGTTCCATCTCTGGAACACCCGTCCCTGCCCCACACCTCCTCCTGCAGGTGGCAGCCGGCCCCTCCCTGGGCTCCCCTGACGCCGACCTGCTGGGTTTCTCTTGTTGGCGCTCAGCCCTCTCTGGCATCTGTGGTGTGTGATCTCTGTGTGTTCGTCGTCTTCCCGGCTAGAATATAAACTGGCCGAGGGCAGGCACTCGGTTTGGGTTCACACAGAACGAAGCCCAGCGCATAGAGGTGCCCCGGAGGGCTCCCAGCAGACGGCGCTGGCCCCGCCGCGGGAGCGGAGCTGCTGGCTCCGGGCAGACCTTAGGCGGGACCCAGGGCCACCCAAGGGCACAGGGTCCTGAGCGGTTTCCAGCCAACACTTTCACGTGCAGACCCCAGGTCCTCCCCTGTGCTGGGGTCTTCAGAAAAAAACGAAGCTGGAGCTGACGGACTGGGGTGCCAGGGGGGTTAGTCCCTCTCATCTCCTGTCGGGGCAAAACGGGGAGAAGTGCCCCCCCCACCCAGCCCCGCCCTGCCACAGGCAATGTGCCCAGTTGCTCTGTTTTCCAGTGATGAGGAGGGAGCTGGGTTGATGTGTCCAAACCCATGCACCTGTTTCCCCAGTGATCAAGAGACGGGAGGTGGCCCCGAGGAGGGAGGAGCTGGCCTAGTGGGAGCTCCCGGTGGTGCCCGGGGGACTGAAGCCCAACCCCAGGAGCTCAACGCGAGGATTCCCTCACCCACCCCAGGCGTTGTCGTGGGGGCACATCCCCGCTCCTGCTGTGACCTAAATCTGCTCTGGGCTCCAAGAGGAAGTCCTGTTCTAGTACGTAGTTATGTTTGTGCTTTAGTTAAAAAAAAAATCAGGGAGAAACAGCTCTCATAAACCATCTCCATCTGCTCAGTGCCTAAGAACATTTTCTTCCCACTTGACAACCCTGTGCTCTAATTAGGACAGGCCTTGGGGGGGGTCCCCTCAATTCCCCGCATGCTCCCAGGCTGCCTGGATGCTCTTTCTCGCTGCCAGTAATTCACACGCAGCCGGGAAAGTTCTAGAGCAATTTTCCACATGATCTCCTCCTGGCAGAAAATAAGATTAACCTCCTTCCTGGAAGCCAGAGGCCAAAAAATAAAAATACGTAAGGGAAGGAAGAGAGTCAGGCAGTCGTCAGCCAGTAAGAGGAGTGTGTTTGTCCCGACTGACCCAGGTCAGTTTTTAGAGGTGCAGCCTGGTGACCTAGTGCGTCAGGAGCCCCCTGCAGGCGACGGTGCTCCAAACACTGGCTTCTCGGTGTCTCCCCAGGACTCACTAGCTGCTCCCTCTGGCTTTGGGGGAACCTGAAAGTCTCTCCCCCTTTCTTTGCGGCGTTATTTCACTTTCCCCAAAAGGCTACTTTTAGGCACAGGGGTCAAAATTGTCACACCAGAAACTGGGGCAAATCTCAGACTCAGGCCCAGCCTTTCCTGGCACCAAGGGCTGCAGCCAAGTAGCCCGGAGGAAATGTGACCACGTGGTCTGAGCCCCGATTACTCCTCCGAGAGTCCCCTCCCACAAATACCCCCAAGTTTTCCTTGGCTGGTCCAGTGGGGCGCCCGGACAGGAGACGGGAGGGGAGAGGGGGCCTCCCCACCCCTCCCCCTGGCTCGGGTGTGTGGGTGGGCGACCTCAGGCTGGTCTTGGAGCTTCCCAAACTTGTGCCATGTGTCAGTGTCCACCCCCACCAGCTGTCCCTCCAGGTTGCAGTAAGGGCCCCTCCCTCACCTCTCAGGTGCAGCCCCGGGCCTGCGCCATCCCCCAGCCTTCCCTGCACCCTGGGCACCCACCCCTGTGCAAGGGTCTTTGAAGAAACTCTCCTCTTTATCCCAATTTGAGCCACCTTCCGATTCTGGCCAGGACACTCACTGAAACACTCACATAATTCTATCTTACCCTTTTCTAAGCTTTTCATGTTTATTTGTTTAAAACCGTTTTAAAATTTACCTATATGTACTGTTCATTGCTTCTAAGAACAGTGTAGAGCTTTAGCTTTTTAAACTTACATGGTTAGCAAAGGAATAAAGCCAACCACAAAATAAGAATCAACAGAATGCAGAAATCCAGTCATAAAGGACAGTCAGGTGTGCTCACACATAGACAAGAAATCAGTCATCTAAGTCATAAATAGTTCATTTGTGTCCCTTTTGGGGGGGTTCCACATATAAGCGGTATCATATGGCGTTGTTCTTTCTCTGTCTGACTTACTTCACTTTGAATGACCATCTCCAGGTCCATCCATGTTGCTGCAAATGGCATTATTTTATTCTTTTTTATGGCTGAGTAGTATTCCATTGTATATATACACC